TGCTGTACAATGTCTCTTTCAGATGCACTTACTTTTTTATTTATCTCATATAGGAATTGTGTTGTGTCCTCTCTTTCACGACCTCTATACATTAATCAGACATTATTGCTTCAGATACTGCCTCTCCACTATTTTTTATTCTCTTCTCAGGAGCTACTCTTAGACCTATGAAGAAACTGCTCATTGTTTATCTACATCTCTTTTTTTAATTATTGAATTTATTGGGGTGACATTGGTGCGCAAAATCGTCTATGTGTTTTTAAAAAAATATATTTTTATTGATTTCATAGAGGAGAGGAGAGGGAGAGAGAGATAAAAACATCAATGATGAGATAGAATCATTGATCGGCTGCCTCCTGTACACCCCGCACTGGAGATTGAGCTGGCAACTCAGTCAGGAGAATTGAACCATGAACTCCTGGATAATAGGTTGACACTCAACTGCTGAGCCATGCCAGGATATATTAATATGTATCTTAATCCCTTTACCTTTTCTCATTCAGCCTCACAACCCCCCTCCCCTCTGACAGTTCTACGCCTATTCTACGCATCCACGCCTCTGTTTCTATTTTGTGTATCAGTTTATTTTGTTCATTAGATTCCACATATAGTATTTGTCTTTCTCTGACTGGCTTATTTCACTTAGCATAATAATCTCCAGGTCCATCCATGTTGTCACAAAAGGTAACAAAAGGTAAGATTTTCTCTTTTTGTCTTCCTTTTCTTTTTTCTTTTTTTACTGCCAAGTAGTATTCCATTGTGTAAATGAATCCTGGCTTTTTTATCCAATCATCTACTGATGGGCACTTGGGCTGTTTTCATATCTTATAGTTATACTTCCCATTTTTGCTTCTCTCCATGTATATCCTGGGCAATTTACATATTCTGTCAAGTTGTTTTTACATTATCCTGAGTCCTTAGTAGCAATAATTTCTGTTATTGTGTCTGCAGACTCTGTCTCAGATGGCTTTTATTCTCTTGTATGTCTTTTAAAATATATTTTTATTAATTTAAGAGAGGAAAGGATGTTACAGAATTTACCAGGCAACCTAGAAATACACAGGGAGTACTCAGAGATCTAGGATAAACCCATTTATTTTCAGATGTACTAATACAGTGACTCGGGGGGTCAGTTCTCCAAATCCTGAGTGAGTGAATATGGAGGAAGGTTTTCCTTTATACCCTTTGGTTTCTTTGTCCCCCAAATATGGATCAGGCTTCTGGACCTTTCTCAGGCTTTGTGAAAAGCCCTTTGGTTGGGATGGGGGACATGAGACCACACCCAAAGGCCTGTCTTGGCGCCAGCACTGATAACCCCCCTCTGGGGTTTGTGTATGGTTCATGGTTTATGGCCTCTGCAAAAAGGGAGTATTCTGGGAAACAGATTCTGCAAAGCAGGACAGGCATCAATGGAGTTAATTATCGGCTAGCAAGAATGTGCATTAGAAGGCAGGTGACTGGCACAGATTCAGATTGCTAGCCCCCCCAACAATGTCTTATATTCACCATCAAGGAGGGGGAGAGAGACATAGAAACGTCAAAGATGAGAGAGAACCATTGATCAGCTGCCTCCTGCGTTCCCCCTACTGGGGATCCAGCCTGCAACCCGGCTATGTACCCTGACTGGGACTCAAACCATGACCTCCTGGTTCATAGGTTGATGCTCAACCACTGAGCCATGCCAGCCGTGCTAATTTTTTCCTAGCGAGTTCGTCTTTAGAGGTACTTGTTTATTTTCCTGACTTGTTTATTTTCCTGAGAGGATCCCATGGGAATGTGTTGGGTCACGTTCCTTAGAACAGACACTTGAGATGAGGATTCGATAGTAGTGCTTATTAAGGAAGTGTTCCAGGGAAACTGGCAAAGGGTTGGGGGAAATAGGACAGAGGAGAGGAGAAATCCAAACACGGTATGATCTCAGGCAAAGTCTCACAGAAAATGATCTCAGGCTGATCCTGCAGGGGACTCCGGAGTTTAAAAGTTATGCCACAGAGTTGTAACTGAGGCTAGGGAGCTATGAAAAGTGGGTGAGTAGGGGGATGTGTTTGGAGAGCAGTTTCCTGAAAAAGGAGACCCAGTAGGTGCTGGATAGGAAAGCATGCGAAAGAGGGGACTCCCCTCCCAAGAAACAGTAAAAATAGATCCAGGGATCTGGGTGAAGCACTGACACTGACATTATCCACTACAGTCTCTGCAGGACAATTTTGCATTCAACTCTGCCAGGTACTTAAGTGTGTAACTGGCTGAAGACCAACATTTATGTTTGGTTCTCAGTTTAGGGATTCTCTGATACCATGTGGCTTTCTATTCTGAAAAGTTGCAGGCCAAAGGAATTGGTTTCTCTTTTAACAATTGTTTTCATTCAAAGTATAAGCCAGGATGAGCTTGCATGTCGGCTCCCTGGGCTCTTGAGCCATTTTTCCCCCCCTTCTTTGTTCCTCTTTACATGTTGGGAACAACTCCTCCACGAAAGGCCTTTAAGCAAGATTTCAATTCCAGCCCTAACCGGTTTGGCTCAGTGGATACAGCGTCGGCCTGCGGACTGAAAGGTCCCAGGTTCGATTCCGGTCAAGGGCATGTACCTTGGTTGCGGGCACATCCCCAGTAGAAGGTGTGCAGGAGGCAGCTGATCAGTGTTTCTCTCTCATTGATGTTTCTAACTCTCTATCCCTCTCCCTTCCTCTCTGTAAAAAATCAATAAAATATATTTAAAAAAAATTCAAATTCCAAACCCTAATCTCCTGCCCTGTGCAAGGATTAAAATCCAATCCAGGTATTACCTGATCAAATTATCTCCTTATTACTCCCATAGCACCTTCTATAGTTGCACACGTTTGCACCCAAGTCTGTTTAAAGATTTGGGGCTGTGTCTGCGAAAGAGCTCTTCTCACTCCTATTTTGGTTTTCTGCTTATGTAATCCTTCAGTTTTGGATCTTCTGTCTCTTCTGTCTTTTAGATGAGTTTTGTGTCGGAAGAACTTCATATTTGAACTGAAAGGAAGATCCTTGTCTTTCCAGTCTCAGTTTGGACCCCAGTGGTGGAGAAAAGTTGGAGAGGGAAAACAGAGAAAGCTGTGACATCAAAGAGTTCCAGGAACTGAAGTGTGGAAAAGTTGATATCCTCAAGAGCGATAAACAGGAAGGACGTGTCACCATGCTAACAGGAAGAGGAGGTGAGCATACTTCTGTGCTCTATGTCCTACAAATGTATCTTATTCCTGTAGCATGAAAAGAATTGGTAGGAAATTGTCTCTTTTAAACTATTTTCTTTTCTTTTTTAAAAAATATTTTTTTTTATTGATTGCAGAGAGGAAGGGAGAGGGAGAGAGATGGAAACATCAATGATGAGAGAGAATTATTGATCGGCTGCCTCCTGCACACCCCCTACTGGGGATTGAGCCTGCAACCGGGCATGACCTGAATCAAACTTGGGACCTTTTAGTTTGCAAACCGATGCTCTATCCACTGAGACAAACCGGCGAGGACTCTTTTAAACTATTTTCTTAGAAAACAGTATGAGTTTTCTGAGACAGCTGGAGAAACAACTGAAATGCGACTTTTCTCAGTTTTCCTTCTACCCCCTAAACTGAAAATGCCCAATGTACGACAGGAGCTAAGAGTAAAGTCTGGAGTTCTGATTTATTTCTATAGTGCTCTCTGAAAACTACTGACACAGTACTGCCCCTCCTAACATGTCTGATAAGGTAACAGCCCAAACAAAGCTGGATAGGAAGCATTTAAGCTTCCAGCAAAGAAAGCTTTCAACAAATTATTCAAATGCAAACTGTAGCACTGATACTGACCCTTCAAGCTACAGTTCCTAAGTATGAAGCATTTTTTTATCTTTATCAAATGCAAGTATATGTACTGAAAACATAGGTTGATGTTAGTGTAATATGAAGAAAAATAAATAGAAAATTCAAGACTATTTATGAGGATTGTTGTATGCCAACTCTGCCCAGTTTGGCCAGTAGGCTTATAATAATAACGGTCATATTCAGGTTCTTACAGAGATTGTGCTATAAAAATGATCAACTAGTCAGTTTCTTTCTCATATTAGTTGCCCATTCCCTAGGAATTGGAGAAAACTAGGATAGAAGAATGTAGCAAGCTAGGCTAGAAGAATATCTGCATAAATCTGAGAGTGGGCCGCACAGCAGGGTCTGTTTTGCTATGAAGAAACAATTTCTCCTAAGGGAGGAGAAGATAGAAGTACAGAAGTTGGGTCAAGCCCAATATGTTATTGTTAGAAGGAAGTATGTTTGCATTTGCCTCTTAGATTATAAGTCAGCCTGGCTATCCTTAGCCTGAAAGCAAAGGGCCTACAATGATAAATAAGCAGTGCCCTGGCAGGTGTGGTTCAGTAGGGTGAGTGTCATTCCATGCACAGAGAAGTTGCTGGTTTGATTCCCAGTCAAGGCACATGCCCGGGTTGGGGGTTCTATCTCTAGTAGTGGGTGTGCAGGAGGCAGCCAATCAGTGTTTCTCTTTCATCAATGTTTCTCTCTCTCCTTCTCCCTTCAATAAAAACATATAAAAAAAGAAAAAGAAAAAGAAGCAAGATCTCAAGAGACACTGAGTCCTCCTGGAAGTGATGGCATTGGTGACACAGGGACAGGATCTTAGCCATGTTGACCACAATTGCATTGGTGGTACCGGGTAATGATAAAGTACTTGCTTCAGTGCCTTTTATTTTCCAGATATAAAACACCAGAACCTCTAACTAGAGATGAGAATCCTCAGTCTTGAACTACTTGGCATCACCAGTGGTCCTGCCTATAAGGAAGTATCTGGACAGTTCTATTGCCAATGGGTAACAATGGCATAGCTACCACTCTGAACTTAGGTGCATATAGACACATTTTCTTAATGATCTGGATCAGGAGATAAGAAAAACTATAGGCTCCCCCATGGTAGTCAACAAAATGCTATTAGAACTTGTGGGAGACACTGGATTTTCTTAAATTTATTTGGGAAGAGCTGGGTATTATATTTTTAAAACATATGTGGAATGCTTCATGAATTTGTTTGTCATCCTTGTGCGGGGCCATGCTCATCTTCTCTGTATTGTTCCAATTTTAGTATATGTGCTGCTAAAGCAAGCACTGGGGGTTATATTTTTTGAGGAGTAAGCCAACAACTTGTCCATCACAAACACATACTTCAAACAACTGAACAGATGATTGTATACATGGACATAACCAGATGGCCAATATAGAAATCAAATAGACTATATAATTGGAAGCAGGAGATGGAGAAACTGTATTCTCTGTGCCAAAATAAGACCAGGAGCAGATTGTGGTACTGACCACGGATTGCTAATATCAAACATTAGAGTAAAACTGAAGAACACTAAAAGAATCATAGTGCCAAAATATAACGTAATGACATTCCTGATGGATTTAAAGTCCACATAAAACACAGATTTGCACTGTTAAACTTAATTGACCAAGAACCAGCAGATCTGTGGACTGAGACTTCAAATATCATTTGGGAAGAATGAAAAAACGACAATGATGGACATAAAAAGGAAAGGAAAATTGAGATGGAAGACAGCAGAAACACTGGAAATTGCTAAAGACAGGTGAGAGGCAAAAGTAGGGGTTAGAATCCTGAACCCAGTTTTTTTGATGACTATCATGTAGAGATAAATAGAACTATAATAATAGTCAATGCAAGGAGATAGAAGAAAATAATAAAAAAGGAAAAACAAGAGATCTCTAACCAGAAGATTAAAAAGTAAAAGGGAAATTCAAACCTACACTAGGAATGCTGAACAACCAACAGGAAGCACATTATCTGAACAGGAGAAAATAAAGGGAAGGTATAAACAGTAAACTGAAAATCTATACCAAAGCAACAAAATGATGGCCAGTACCTTTAAAAAAGATTCCTATGATGAAGAATAGTAATTCTAGAAAGTGAAGTGAAAACTTCCCTGAAAGTATTGGGAAGGAATAAATTGCCAGGAATAGATGAGAAACTAATAGAATTACTTAAAGCCACAGAAACTGAATCTAATTCTAAAAAGAATATGTCAACAAATATGGAAAGCAAAACAATGGTCTACAGACTGGAAATGTTCAATATACATCAAAATCTTCAAGAAAGAAGATGCCCAGGAATATAGTAATTATACTAATTTTCCATGCAATTAAAGTGATACTCAAGGTGATGCAACAAAGGCTTCTAACTTCTTAATATGGTGCAAGAAATGCTGGATGTTCAAGTTAGATTTAGAGAAGGAAGAGGCATTCTATATCTTATTGCAAACATCCATTGAATTCTAGAGTTCTCCTAAGAACTTCAGAAGGTTAGTCTATGTTTTATTTATTTATTATTATTTTTAAACATATTTTTATTGATTAGAGAGAGGAAGGGAGAGGGAGAGAGAGATAGAAACATCAATGATGAGAATCATTGATAGGCTGTCTCCTGCACACCCCACACTGGGGATCGAGTCTGCAACCTGGGCATATGCCCTGACTGGGAATCAAACCATGACCTCCTGGTTCATAGGTTGATGCTCAACCACTGAGCCAGGCTGGCCAGGCTATGTCTATGTTTTATAGCCTACAATAAAACCTTTGTGCTGATCATGAAAAGCTATGGGTTGCTCTGAAAGAAATGGGCGTGCCTCAGCACTTGATCATCCTGATGTGTAACCTGTGTTGTGGACAGGAAGCCACAGTCAGGACAGAATATGGAGAGACAGAAAGGTGTCAGACAAGGGTGCATTTTATCTCCCCATTTGTTTAATTTGTATGCAGAATGTATCCTTCAAGAAACTGGGATAGACTCAGAGGAAGGAAGAGTGAAAAAAAATACCAGTAACTTGAGATATACAGATGCAACCATCTTAATGGCAGAAAATAGCACAGAATGGAAATGACTTCCGATAAAAGTGAAAGAAGAAAGTACCAAAGCAGGACTGCATTTGAACTTCAAAAAGACAAAAACCGTGGCTACAGAAGAAATACACAACTTCAACATAGACAATGAAGACATTATAGTGTTAAAGAATTTTGTTTACCTTGGTTTAGTCATCAATTCAAATGCAGACTGCAGCTAAGCGATCAAGAGAAGGCTGAGACTCAGAAGGGCAGTCATGGAAGAATTAGGAAAGCTCAAGAGCAAAGGTCTGTCATTAGAGACCAAGGATAAGGCCATCCACACCTGTATTTCCCAATTATTATGTACGGATGCAAAAATTGAACAGTGATAGGGAAAACATTGACTTATTTGAAATGTGGTGTTAGAGGAGAGCTCTATGAATACCCTGAACCACCAGAAAGGCAAACAAGTGGGTCCTAGAGCAAAATAAGCCCGAAATATCACTGGAGGCAATGATGACAAAAATGAAGCTGTCCTACTTCAGGCACATCATGAGAAGGAAGGCAGGGTTCATTGGAAAAAAACATTAGTGCTGGAAAAAAAATAGCAAGCCGGAAAAGAGGAAGACCAAATATGAGCTAGATCAGTGATGGCGAACCTTTTGAGCTCGGCGTGTCAGCATTTTGAAAAACCCTAACTTAACTCTGGTGCTGTGTTACATATAGAAATTTTTTTATATTTGCAACATAGTAAAACAAAGACTTATATTTTTGATATTTACTTTATATACTTAAATGCCATTTCACAAAGAAAAATCAACCAAAAAAATGAGTTTGCGTGTCACCTCTGACACGTGGGTCATAGGTTCGCCATCACTGAGCTAGATTGACTTAAAAGACACCGTAGGCATGTGTCTACAGGAGCCAAGCAGTGTTGAGGACAAGACATGATGGACATCATTCATATTTTTAAGGTCACCAGGAGTCAGAGCTAAGTCAACAGCCTATAATACACACATGTAGGATTGTAGATAGATTTTTTTTTCTTAATGGTTATTTTTTTGTAATCTTGTTTTTAAATCCACATTACAGTGACTCAGGAAATGCAGGTGATACATTTAGTCAGAAGAATGAACTCTGTTCTGCTTTCTCTTCTGAGGTCATCCAAACTCTGTTGCTCTTCCGTGTATCTCTGGCAGATGCTGAAGTGTGCTGCTCCAACTCTCCTTCAAAGAGTCTACTCCCCAGCCTGGAGGGGTTCAGGAGCTTTCAGGCTCTAGTAGTTGGCCCCTTTAGGGTTTGCCTCAGCTTTTGAACAGAGGTCAAGTTCTCAGTGTTCCCCCCCTTCCCCAGCCAATGATTGAGCAAAGTGGTGGTACAGGTGGTACAGGCTTAGCTTTGAATGATTTTTGCTCCAGAGATTTCCCTCTGAGCTGGCAGAACTTTTGTTAAGTCTCTGTCAGGGTCTGACAGCTCCCTCTTCCCAATTCTACTTCCTCCTCTTTCCTTTGAAGGTATATTTGCCAATAAACTCTCAGTACTCCTAACTTATCTCAATATCTGCTTTCAAGAGAGTCTAATGTGAAGGGCATCCCACACTCTCTTCATGCCATACAGTTCTGTGTTTTGATATTCTGTGCAATACAATATCCTTCTGCCCCAGGACTTTTATTCTTCTTCTTTTTTTTTTTTTGAAACAGTCATTCTTTTTTATTTTACTTTATATTTTTTGTTAATCCTCACCTGAGGATATTTTCCCATTGATGTTTAGAGAGAGTGGAAGGAAGGGGGAAGGACAGAAAGAGGGAAACATTAATGTGAGAAAGACACATCGATTGGTTGCCTCCCCTATGCGCCCCGAATGGAGCTGGGAATCAAGTATGCAACCAAGGTACCAGCCCTTGACCGGAATCGAATCCGGGACCTTCAGTCTGTGGGCCGATGCTCTATCCACTGAGCCAAACCAGTTAGGGCAGGACCTTTATTCTTAATTATTTCTTATCAGATAGGTAAGTTTGTACTGTTAAAACAAAGAGACCTGGTTTTAGATTCAGACTTATTTTGGGTTTGAATCTCAACTCTGCCTTATACTTAGCAATATGAACTTGATCAAGCTGTTAATTTCTATGAGCCCCTATTTTCTCACCTTTTATTATAGACCTGGGAAACAGATCTCCCATTTGATAGAAAAATGGATGCATGCAACTGTTGTGCAAAACAATTAAACATCCTCCTAACATTTCCAAGGGGAGAGCTCTCATTTCATGCTCACTATGGACTGCATGAATTTAGTTATAGTTACTCTGTTTTTATTTTCCTATATAAGAAGAATTTACCACTAAACTGTATAAAATGCATGAGACATTATTTTTCTTCTTCTTCTCCTTCCTATTAAACAAAAATTCCCTGCACTGTAAAAGTTGCTTGTACAATTTTTTCCTTTTCCTCTTGGAATCCCTACTTTTAATTATATATCATCTTTTGCTTCTCTTGAAGTAAATCTTTCCTTTCTTAAAGTTTTGTACATATCTTAGTCTTTGACTAAGTTTTATTGTTGTTATTATTTTTGCTTTCCAATGAGGGGAGATATTAGCTCTTGGTCTTTATAATTAATAGGTCAGTTTGGGGATGTGAATTGCATCCCTTGTGTTATTTACTATATTTCAAAAGAGAGGTTCCACTCCATTTAACTTCCTCTTTGTCTTTTAAAATAACTACTTGAAATATTTTCCCTGGTGTTTTTCCATAGAAACAAAAAAATTGGGAGAGGGACAGAAAGAAAAGAAGGGTTATGGGAAATGTTTCAAGTGAAGTTAGCTTTTTTAGTGATTTTTATTTTCCTTGCCAAGTTTAAACCCATGAAGTCTTGACTTGATACTAAATACAGAAAGGACCCAAACAAATTAAACCTGTCATTATATATATATATATATATATATATATATATATATATATCCT